AAATGTGATTAATTTTTCTTATGTCAATAGACATGCCAACTTTTGTGTATGAATTATTTATCCTCTTCAAAAGGATAATAATTTATATAGTTTTTTTGTCTAAGAAAAAATAATATAATTTGTAATTTTATTGAAATATACAAAACTTTTCATAGTTTTGAGTAACCATCATTGTTTCGAGTATCAAACCCATTTTGATGATCTGATTAGACTAGTATATTGGTTAATACCAATAAATCATAAATCGATACAATGGTACATATTGATATTTTTAAGAGGAAGGGCGAGTGGAGGAAGAAAGATCGAGCAAGAGAAAAATAAAAGGAAAAAAAAAAGAGATAGAGAAGAAAATAAAGAAAGAAATAATAGAGGAGGATAGATGGGAGTGTAACGAAAAAGAAACACAACAACAACAGTATCACGAAGGAAAGGGGTGGTAGTGGCATCGTGAAGCAATGACAGTGGCAACAATGTTGAACATGAGAAGAGGGCTTACTTTTATTTTATTTTATTTTTAATATTGAGTTGCATGAGCCCCACTACTATTTTAAACTTTTTTTTTATTTTCTTAAGTTGGATCGGGCTGTCAAAAATAGGGATGGGCCACTTATTAGTGTATGTTTGGATCAGTATGTACCGCTCCTTTCATACCATTTTAGATGGTACGATAATCCTTGCTTGAGTATATAACAGAAATATACATAATTAAATTAACATTGAGAAATAATTAAAAATAACCTAATATTGTTAAGAATTGATAGGGTCATCATATATGTATTGGATTTGGTCCATAACATGAAAAATTAAGTTTTTAGATTGCATTAATACCCCAATCCCATGTAAAATATTTATTAAATATGATATAATTTATAGCTAAAAAATATTAATATTGCCTGCAATGTTTAAGAGATGTGATATAAATAAGGCATCTTAATGTGAAAGACCAAGAAATTAAATAAGGCATCCATATCCTCATTCACTTTATTAAGGCAATAAGGCTTCACTCTTCCAAAAGCATTAACATTCTCTTGATGATATATTTATTCTTTCTCTAGTGTCATCTTCTTTGGCTACACAATAAACTAAGAACATGACAAGCAACATTGCGCCTGAACTAGCAGGATGGGGCTGTATACCCATTGATATTTTTTTAGAGATATTTGAAACCCTGAATCTGATCGATCGATGTACTATAGCTCAAGTTTCTCACTCATGGCGACTGGCTTCTTTGGATTCATCACTCTGGAGAACGATCGATCACCTGATTCTATGGTCCGACCTTATAAGGGTGGACACAGAGCTTAGGTTGTCACAAGCATTGAGGACTATGGTCGCCTATGGTCATGGAAACATCTTGTGCATTGCCTTCATGAAGGATGAGCACATGAACATCATCGGTCGAAGGTAAACTTCTTCTTCTCTACCTTATTCTCTTATGATTTGATGGTTATAAGTACACAGATGCTCTCAGCTTAAAAGACTCGTCATGCCATGCTGGGGTTCTATTAGCATAACTGCAATGAGTGACACCATAAATAAGTGGGAAGAATTGAAATCAATGACCATGGCTAGCTTCACTCCTTCCTTCCGAGCCATGCTGACTATTGATGGATCTTGCAAGAGGCTCTCTCAGCTAAAGATCGTTGGTGACGTTCATTATAAATTTATATTGTCGCCTTTTGCAGTCATCCCTATTCATTATATATATATATATATATATATAAAGACGATAACGTATTTCACTCTGTATTGTGTATGAGAGGCAAATGTGTGTGTAAATGTAATAATTAGACACCTAATATCGGGGATCAAACAAATGCATGACACATTTATCGATGATGAATTACTACTATGAGATTACATAAACATTTACCCCTTTTGTTTATGATAAAAATCCTCATATTATAGCTTAGGAGATGTTAATTGGCATAATTGTTAAAGTGATAGCAAGAATTTAAAATCAAATACCGTGTTTACCATTTACAATCTGATGGTTGATAGTAAGGTTGGAGAGGTGCACTAAACGAATCCTAACTTGAATGAGAAATGAACGTAGATAGGAACAAGATGAGGCATGAGGCCAACCTAGGCCTGACCTCCATTCACTAGAACAAATAGGGCATGCACCCTATTATGAAGGTTTTTCTTTTTAAGAAGACACTTTAGTAGAATAAGAGAGTTGCTTATGCCTAAAGAGGGGTGTTTTTTTCAGCCCTGTTGTCCAATAGAGAGATGATCCTTTTACCACTCCACCATATATTCACTTATCAACAACATAAATATATAAGATGTCTCTTTATTCCCAATATCACTGACGCAATTCAAAGTATCCCTTTTGTGCAAGATCAAATAAATATAGTAAGTGCTTGATATAGTTATAATATCCCTCTTGCATGCATCTGTCGAGACAAAATGCCTCCTAAGCATTTGACATCGGCCTAAAGCTTTTCCAAGACTATCAAAGTGTGTGACAAAAAGATAAACTGATGTAACCATTAAGCCAATAATTATTACAAGTGTCTTACATGATTGACTTGGCCAAAGCGTTCATCATACATCTACTCAAAAGAAAAAAAAAAAAAAACCATCCAAAGAGGGAATGCAATATTATTGATATTTAAGGTTTTTTTATTTTATTTATTATTTTTAAATGATTGATATTTAAGTTTTTTTTGTCTTCCTTTTTATTCGGCCCATATTGACAGCAAGTGACTTGATAAAAATATTCTTCTTACACTTGATGCATCAGGATAAAAAAAATCCAAAGCACCCAATGTGATCAAGAAGAGATGCATATTATTGATAATTTTATTTTATTAAATTAGTAATATTTAAGGTTTTTTATTTTTTTTATTTTATTCTGTCCATATCGATAGCAAGGGATTTTGCCTATTGATATCCTTTTCAAGATATTTAAAGAACTGATAGCCTGAGTTTCTATGCTCCAATTTCGCAAGGGTGAACACTGGGTTTAGGTCATCTCACAAGGACCAAAGGAATGTGGTGGCTTGTTGTCATGGACAGACACATCAGTGCATTATATATTCCACCACTGACCTACCTGAAAAGGTTGAAATTTTTTATGCAAACAATCATCATCAAACATCGAATTAACTGACCTAAAATTTAGCAAAAAGCATATAAAGTTGGGAGCATATAGCTGAAATTAATGCTCCTATATCTGTTGCTTCATGCATGTTTGACAATAAAATGTCTGCATTTCATCAATAACATAGATTATCTTCCCACAGAACTTGGCTAAAAGTATTGGGCATATAGGTAGAGAGAGATCCTGTTGGCATCAGAGAGAAAGTAACTGCAGTTCAACATAAATAGTTGAGCATCTGCTATAAAAAGAACTTGTTGCACAATTAAATATGCCCTCCATGAATGAAATACCAATGATATCTGAGTAAAAAAGCATTGCCAGATTCCTACACAAAATTATAATTAGACCAAATAGAATCCAATATTAACATCTTCTATTTTCTGCTTAAATATTTAATTGCTCACAAATTATTTCAGCTGAACACCAACAAACCTGTGCTCCAAAAATTGGCTCATTGTAATTGTATTCTGCACTGGAAACAAAAACATAAGCCAAATTCACATGGGACATTGCAAAATGTATAATCAGAGTCGATAACTAACCTCGGTGTGGGCTCTTGATGTTCTTAGTAAAATAACGTGAGGTTTCAAACCCACTTTAGTTGAAACAAACTAAAAACTGTTGAACCATAATTTGAGATAGGTCTGAATAATTGCCTTGAAAATGTCAAACCCACTGTGACATGGAACTTCGAAAAGAATGAACTTGAGTAAATAAAATTGACTACAACTTCAATTTGACAATACATAGAAAACGTTGTATTTCCAATGAAATATGTATATCAATTTTATCTTTGTGCGTAACACTTCTGAAACTCATTTATAGAATATTTGGTACGCATTAGAAGTTTAATATCGGAAGCTAATATCATCTACATTTTGTAAGATTCAGTTCTCTCTATAGTTTTTTTTTTGTTTTATTGACATGACAACTATTGGTTGTCGAATAAATAATGTATGGCCCTACAAGATTCTAAGTAACCCATTAGAGTTTCTTGCCAATAGCCGATTACAAAAGCCATTGTAGCTCTCACGTAAACTCTGCTTGGTCATTCATCAAAAGACTAATTGATATCAAACTCAGCCCCAAAGAAACACACAAGAATATGTGGCACAAAGTATCTACTTTGTTACAATGCCTAGAGTCATAAATTTAGCATTTAAATATGCATAGGTTGATTCTAGGAAATGTTAGCTCCAGAATCAATCTCTCAGGCAATCTGTCCAAGTCACATTGGAAAATAAAAATAACACGTTATTCACTTTTTGGTCAAAATTAATAGCAACAGTGTTGCTTTTTTTGGTTTTGAACCATGAAATGAATGAACATTACTGCATAACTTCATCATTTTGCTTCCACTGCAAGCATACTAGAAAACGAGTGTTAATAGCAGTGATCAGATTATCTACTGAGAGCAGTTTCACAACGAAAAAAAAAACCCCTGTATCCCGCTGCAACTTGGTAATAACTAGATATTGATTGGAAAAAGATCTTGGAAATCAAAATAGAAATGTCATTAGTTAATCAACACTATAGAAAACATTAACTAGCTATTTATTCAATGATCCAAGACATAATATGCAAGATTCCAGAGGTAAAAACCAATAACTTCACACTCGACAGATTTTCTTATACCCACCTGCCCTAACGGGATACAACTAGGTGCGAATTACCTCAATATTCTTCCTTCACCGCATACATGGTAGAAAAAAACGACAACAGCAGCGATCAGGTTGGCCACTGAGAGCAGGTTATTATGCAAAAACCCACGGATAAAACCTCTTATCCTTTCATTTAAAAACCGGACATTCCAGTGTCGTATACTGATAAGTAGAGAAGGATTACAAAGAATTTATGGCAACACAAAATAGCATGCATAGTTGATACTCAATTGATATATAAAGACCACAAGCATTACGTACAGATTTCATATACTTAAAATCTGTTGTGTCCAACCATAGAAGAATACATAACATAACATCGCACACCTTGAGAAACTTAAAACTAATGCAAGATTCAAACTTGTATATAAACACATAACTATATATTCACACCATCCCCTTACCTCATACAATTTAATAACTACAGGTCGCTAATTTCGTCCGAGCATGCAAGCAGGAAGGGTAGTAACTAGTTTCGATTACCGAATGGTGCACCGATGATGCAAGGATCAGGAACTAGACAGGGGCCAGCTTGTCAACGACGCTAGGGTTGGTGGAAACAGCAGGGGAGGTGGCGTCGTCGGGGCCGTCGATGGAAACCGGCTTGGTGAGCATCAGAGGGCGGTCCTTAGCCTCCTCCTCCACCTCGTCGTCGTTGTCGGTGGTGCTGAGAGTGATGCATGAGCAGCGCTCGAGGGAGGCGAAGAACGCTGAGGAGACGCTCGCCCCGACCCAATTCACAACGCGGTCCAGCTTGTCGCAGGACAGGAAGCTCGAGCTCTCCATCGCCATAGGTGAGACCGAGATCGAGGAGTGGAGAATTGAAGACTTATTTCCGTTTCGTCTCTTAAGAGCGGAACCCTAGAAGAAAGACACACAGGAAACAGAAGGCCGGCAGAGTTTTAATTGGGAGAAGGACACGAGAGGGTGTTTTGGCCGCTGTATCATGTCTTGCCCTGCGGTCGGTCGGTCGGTCAAGCAAATGGATGCGTGCGCGCAATGGCGACCGACTCGAGAGTTCTTGCGAGTTGTGCGCATAAACCGACCAAACCGGGAAAACGACCAAATTGGTGCATTTATTTCCTCTCTCTGGTTTGATTTGAAAAGTTGATTTCTGAATGTCCTATTTTTAGTTGTAAAAATCTATTGGTAATTTTTCTTTACTTTTACTATTTATAATTTTATTTTAAAATTTTTTAATATCCTAAAAATATCACTATACAAAATGAACGAAAAATACACTTATGAGTAGGGGAGGCAAAGGGGGGAGAAGTAGATTTTTATATATTTATTATTAATAAAAATAAAATTAAAAGTTAAAATAGTATATTTTTATTTTTATTATTTTAAAAATTATTACCAATAATAAAGGAATATCAATAGCAACGAGAGGGTTCCTAATAACAAATTTCTTTTTAGTTATCACATTTAGTGTTTTTTTTAATATTCTAAATATCCCTAGTCGCACAATCATATGCCTCTATCGAAAAACATTTAAAATATTAAAAAAATAAATATCATATAAAAAAATTAAAATAGAAGGCATCTACCAAAAAAACCCTAAAAATGACTTTCAAGGAAATCACCCTTAAGAAAACCCATCCAATTAAACCGAATCAGACAGTGAAATAACAAGTAAAAGAATTAAGTTCAGACATATATAATTTCTGATAAAATTTATCTTTATTAATATAATAAATATATAAATTAACATAACACGTAATATAATGCCCTAAAATATAAAAACTAATATTGATTTGATGCAGTGTGTTTCTTTTAATGTTAACTGATTTGGTTTACTTCAAACATTTTTGTAAACCAAAAATTTTATATTGTTCACAAGAATCTTCGACACAGCCCAAAATCACAATACATCGGATGTCCTATGTGTAACAACAAAATTTATGGGAAAAAACAATTTTACTTTATGGGCTACGGGATGGCACATTTAGTTGGTTAATGACCTAAATTCCAGAAGCCTTGAGCTTCTTCTTGTAATCCTGGAATGTCCCCGAGAAAGGTGCCACCCTGCCCTCCGCAACCACCCACAGCTCGCCCACACTCCCAGATATCAAATGTTCATCATGACTCACCTGCACAAAACACATGTTGAGACAAAGGTGCATGCATCTATTATTGAACTAACTATTTAGAAGGTTGTGGCAAGATATTATACCATTAGAACCCCTCCTTGGAAGATCACAAGACCCTGGATGAGTGCTTCAACCGCATCCAAGTCCTGGAAAACATCAATTACATGTCTCAGCAATGACCGATTCCTTGTAATGTAAGCTTGCAACACATCAAGAAAGGATGGAATCAAACATGTGCCACAGTTTAATCTTCGGCCTTATGGAATAGTACGTTTTCCATGAATTGATACAGGATAAAGGTGGTGGTTACAAAAAAGCACAATGTTTCAGGACCATAGGTAAGAAAGATGGAGAGTCAGAATGTTCACAGCACCAAGAGGTAGGGAAGGTTTTGCAATACAAAAATATATATAGGTCAGATTATTCAGGAATATACTAAAGTTTACATTTTTAAACATCTAGTATTTATTTAATCCGGTGGTCCTGATGTTCTGCATTTGTCATAAATGAAATACTAAATGCTAAATGTATAACATGAAGGAAGGTATGAAACTACTACTCTTTACTCTGATCTACTTACTAGATGGTTGGATGGCTCATCAAGCAGAACTATATGTGGCTTCTTGAAAGTGATCTTTGCAAATGCCACCCTGCTCTTCTGACCACCTGAATAAAAGGGGAAGAATTTGGAGCTCAAAACTGTGGACAATATAGTTAAATAAGCCTGAATTTGAGTAGATTCAGTAAGTTCTTAGAAATCCAGAAACACAATAGGCATGAGCACAGTAAAAAATCGTAAAGCAGCATATTTTAAGACAACTGACCAACGATTTGCCAAGTTTCATCAATAGACAAAACCAGTTTAACAGTTACCTGATAGTGTGTACATTGGCTGAAGTGCAAGATTGCCTGTCACGCCAAACGAACCCAAATGAGCCCTAAGTTTCTGTTCAGGTACTCCCTGCAATGTATGAAAATACCAATTACAAATATGGCAATACACCAATTGAAGGCAGTGCATGTTCACATCTATAGTGTAATCAATAGTTTGTCTACTAATCGTTCCAAGACTCTGGGTTTTAAATACCTACCTATCAGAGAGTTTCCAAGTCAATAATCAGCATCAAGTTGAATTGTGCTTCAGAAAGCGCCCAAAAAACCACAGTTTTGCACAATCTAAAACAAACTTAAACACTCAATATCAAGTACCTCTTATGCATTGAGAGGTAAATGCACTTGTCACTCAATTTGCCCATCAAACCAGCGAAAATAGCTTTGACATTACTTCAATTGGATAGTCATACATCTGTAGATCACAGATGTTCCAGTTTGTCACTCAATTGTCCAACTATTTTTAACCACCAACTAGAAGCTCTTTGCTGTTCCACTAACCATTCCCTCTAGTTAAAACTATAACAATGTACAGTTGTATATCCATTTTAACAAAGATCTATAAAATCCAAAAGGCCAGCATCATGATATCATCATGCAATCTGACTTAACATGTAAAACACGAAAAACATAGCTTCAGCAATCAAAGAAGCATTTAAAGCTAAGAACTATATAAGCTTTCTTAAGTCTAATGGTCGAAGTTTTTTGCACAAATCTAGAGAAAAAATAAGTTGTTTCACAAGTTGATGCGATACTGTGTAACTCTAATATTCTTAAGATACTTATGACACAACTTTTCATGAAACACTAAAGGTTCCTTAAGAAATCCAAAATCCCAAGTAAGATACCCATGGCACCTGATGGTATCTAGTAGAGGAACTAAAACAAAAGATTCCATTTCATCAAGATCATTTTGCAGTCCTTGTGTCTGGGTCCATTTCAAGGTTGGTTGTTGGTCAGTATGTTTTTTTATATGAAGCAACAAGCCAAGACAAATTACAAGTAGTCCTTACTGGATAGCATCGCATCATGTAGAGTAAGGGATTTGAAGATAAGTCAAGCCCATCTACGTGGTGCTGACTAAATACAGCCATGCGAACCTGTGGAAACAAATTTAAATTGTCAAAGCAATGGTCCAAGAACATCATAATTTGCACAAATAGAGATAGATATTCAATTGCTCACATATAATACAATCCTAATGCAAATTAGAGAAGAGTCAACCTCAATATCAGGCTGCCAACTGAAGCACAAAGAAATAAACAGCTCAAGGGCTCACACCCACAGAAAGAAATGCATATTGATTGCTATGTTTTGCATGCCTCTCCTCAGCATGGAAGCCACCCAATCATCAGAAAGCAAGGGAGAGTAAGAAGAAATTGAATAATGCAATAAGAAGCCATGTTGTACAAATTTCTTTTTATATACATGGCAAAACCCTATAGCAACCACGTTGAAACCCCTAATAGCAAAACCCTTGATTACACTCAAATTAACGTATAAAAAGTGTGTACTGATATCTGCACACTGGCCTTTGCCACGGAAACCTACCTTTTGCATCGTGTTATTCAGATAGCCATGGAAACCTACCCTTACCATCATACAATTCAGGTCTTCTTGATTACCGACCCTACACCCTAGGTTAAAATTTTGTTCAAGCACATTTAATTTTGCCACTGTCCCATAGCTTATCTCCACCATCACTCTAGTTTGGGACCACAAGGTGGCAAGCTGCAGCAGATTATAAAAAAAGAACAGAAATTTCTACCAAGCAGAAACATAACCACAAATCAAAGTTATTTTTTAACACTAACTAACCTTTATACTTACAAATTCTGATTAACATATTTTATGTAGGAACTTTAAAATGATGATGCAAAATGATGCTAAGTATTGCATTGGCACACCGAAAAAAAAACATATGCCCTATTCCAGACCATCAGTAACTCTGAAGGGTTGATAAGCCAAATAATAAATAAAGACAGAAACTGTGGAAAAAAACAATTCTATAGCCAGCTAGTTTCACAAGCTTTTGTCAAAGCAGGACATAAGCATCAGTTGTACATTGTAAGAGTCTTCATGACCCACGATAGCATGGTTAGAATTAAGCAACCTCGTCTATTATTTAAATTTTAATAAACCATATGATGTTCTCAATAATACTCCACTCAGATCCTATAGTCATACTGGCAAGTCACATGGCACATCTGCCTCTTTATTCCTCCCATTACCAATCTGTCACACACAAAAAAAGATCACAATTTTGAACATCTTTTTCTATTCCTCAATTAATAAATTGCATGCAAAGAGAGTACAACCATCAAATTGTCTCCCATTACCCAGAATTCCTAGAAACCTTCCCACCTTATTCCTTTCCCCGTCACTGTTTTATTTTGGACTCTCTCTCTCTTCCTTTTTTATCTGAGACACTTTTTCTCTACCAAGCTTTTGTTTATCTCGTGTTCTTACTGTCATTTCCTTTGTCAAAGGGTCAAGAGGTGTCCTGACCAAAGTGCACAAAAGACGACATTAATTGAGGGCAAAGCAAATATCCTATACACACCATCACAACTCTAGTGACCTCCAAAAAGCCCAACACATTTCTATTCATCCAGCTGCAACAACGAGGACATGGCTACTCAATGTATATGTGGATTGTGTAACACCAGATCAACAAAGCCAGGGAAGAACCGAGATTTTCCACTATTTTTCATTTATATTTTGTTATAGAAACCTGAAGGTTCAAAACGAACCAGAAATTTTGGTCAAGCTCAATTGCAGTATCTGCTTTTTGTCCATTTTGCCTTCTCTTAATGTAGTGAAAACAAATGTATTTGATCGTACAAAATTTTGTCCATAAATAAGCCAGATCAAAGGTGGTGCAGTTTTTCTTTATCTATCATTTTCCCTCCCCTTCCCTTGGTTGTTTTTTTTTCTTTTTACAACCACAATCCAGCACAACAATACATCATGGAAATTAAATCCTTGGTAAGGCAGAAGCACTTAAAATCAAGAAATTTCCTATATCAAATGCTCAATCCACATCAATCAAATGCACTTTGCATATGTATCTAGGGAAGAAAACCATAGTAGGAATATGTTTAGTTCAGATTCCCACCAGAGCTCCACTATGATCCCGCAAAAATAAATTAAAAAGAGAGCTCCACCTGGAAAGACAATATAATCAAGGGACTGAATAGCACAGTACCTTTGCAGAACGAAACATTGTTCCGGAAGTTGGTTGAAGTTCTCCGGATATTAATTTGAGAATGGTTGACTTGCCAATACCATTTGGACCAACCACTGAATTCAATTAAGATATCTTGTTAGGGGAAAAGAAAATAAACTGACAGGAAGTAATAGAAAAAATTCCAATAATAAACAAAATTTCTATTTTATAAATACAAGACATATTGACTAGAAGTAATATGAACCAAACTACCAATAAGCAAAGTAAAATGGCATTGACAGGCTAACTTATCTAGATAAATCCTTCATTGTTTGGGTGCCACATCAAATTGGTTTTTTTTTAAAGTGGTCCTGGTACTATTAGTACGATAGCAATCAAATCCTTCAGTCACTTGTGAAGTCACAAGTAACTTTGTATTTTTTCTGACTTGGAATTAACCATCCAAATAGTGTACAGTCAGCAATAGATCAATGGAAAAATTAAAATCAAACATTGAAGATTTTGGAATTAAGATCATAAACTTACGTTTTCAGATTAGTTTAAGCATTAAACTAGTGATTGATGTCACATGGATGCCATGTGCATTTTTTAAGCGATGTTGGCAAAAAATTAAGCTGATCGTGAATATAACTCATCCTTCCATCAGTAACATTGTCAATAAAAAATGAAGGATATGATTTCTATGGATCAATAGTTCAAGTATCCCTTTTCACAGAAAAAATATAATCTAAGAACTAATTCAGAACAACATCCAAAGTTGAAGAACTGTCCTGATAATTTAGACCATGACACCATATGAAAATGATATTCATATAAAATAAGACAATGGGATTTATTATAGCTTTGACAAGAAAATGACCGTCAACAAACAGCTACAAAGCTGTCATTTTCACCTCCCTGAGACCTAATGCAAGTTCACATCATACAAATAGTCATGATAAACTATACCTTCACAATAATAGAGAAACATACCAACAACAGAGAAGTAATAATTTTATTAAAGAGATCTAAGTATATATTTTGGCTGCACATCAGAATCATAATAAGTTCTTACTTGCTATGCGGCTGTCAAGATCAATTCCAAAATTCAAATTCTTAAACAAAAGAGGCCCTCCTGGATAACCAAATGATACATCACTGCAACCACATACAAGATTGTAAACTTCTCGATAAACCTCAGATCATAAAGTTGGAAAAGCATAGTTCAAAGTTTTGGTAATAAAAAAAACCAATGTAGAGCAAACACTGATAAAACAATTATATTTTATAAAAAAATCATAACTACTAATAGAACAGAAACAAATGATAAGAAACAAAAATGCCATATACCTTAAACCAAGATTTCAAATCTCGAGCATTCTAGTGCCATTCTAGTTGGCACGGACGGGTATTTACAAGTCCAACCAAGTGCTAGTATGGTAACATATAGCTCAATATCAGTATAATATGACTCATTATCAGGGATTGTTGTACTGCCCGAAATAGTATGGTTTTAGAGGTATGTACCGGTCCGGGTGTGGACCAATAAGCGAACCACCCCGTTTCGGGCTGTCTGCATTAAAATAATAAAAAAAACAAAAAGTGGTGACCCCAATCCATTTCAATGTAAAAAAAAATAAATTAGGGCTCTTCTTGCATACGAAGCTGTGACATTGCCTCTTCGCCGCTTTACCGCTGCAGCGACACTACCTCTTTGCTGATTCACCATGGCGATGCTGCAACGATGCTGTCTCTTTGCCACTGCGATGCTGTAGCGACGCTACCTCTTCACCGCTGCAATGCTGCAGCGACACCGCCACTTCGTCGCTGTAATGCTACTGCTTCCCTTCAACGCTGCCACTGCTACCGCTGCTTCCCAGGTATCGCTGCACTTCTCCTCCTTTTCTTTCTTCTTCTTCTTCCTTCTTCCTTTCTCCTTCTTCCTCCTCTATTCCTCTACTGGACTTTCCTCTTCAACCTCTTTTTCTTCCTAGTCGAAACATCGGTATGCACCGACATACCATGTGTCGATATACCAGTACGGAGTGGCATGTGTTGTGCCGCCGACCAGCTGGCACACCGGCTAGGACTGGTAAGTCAAACCTTGCTCATTATTATAAAATTATTTTACTAAATAATTGATATAGCTCAAAATCAAGTGTTACGGGTTGGTATATCGATATCCTCTCAGCCTGGCGCGCTACCAAAACCACTGTTGGACTGAGATTTAAATTCTTATGTCGAAACATTTTTTCTATTACTTCACCTACCCCTACACTAATAAAGTAGTAGTTTCTCCCATTTGTCAAATTTTGACAAAGAAACTGTTTTACATGGTAATCCTAGACAATAAGATGAGGAGGAATAGCAGGCTCAGAGCAAACTAAAACCAGTAAATAGGGGCCATATTACAAAAGGGTTAGCTAAATTATAAAAGAAACACACTAATTGGGTTCCTAGACTAACTGATTTTTCGCATAATACCGCTAAGCATATGAAAGCCAAAGACTTCAACAGAAGACATTATTACTTCATAATGGAAATGTATAGATTATAAGTGTTACTCCATGCATAAAGAAGATGATAATCATCATTCATATACAAAATAATACCTGAAACTTATGATTGGAGGCCCTGGTCTATCATCGGGAGTTGGGAAATCAAATTTGTAGCTGAAAAAGAATAGAAAATTTCAGCTTAAGTAATATATAAGTAGCTTGAATAAGCAAAAAAGATTATGTCAGTGTGCAAATAAATCATCTTTATTATGAAAAGAGGCAATACTCTGGATCATTAATAACTGCATCTACAGTACCCATTCGGTCAAGTGCCTGGATAATTTACAATTTCAATCATCAGTAATAGCATTGCAGAGGTAGCAAATGACTAAAAATTAAAAAACACTTCATACTAGGATGAACAAAATCCACATATTAGATGACAAAGGCAATGGAAACAGCATTTGAGGATTGCAATCATCTTCTAACACACATCTGACAGAAGTTACAATAATTTTAGACTTAAAGTTATCAAAGTTTTGATATCCTAATGGAATGTGTCGATAAGCACCTTGATTCTTGACTGAACAAGAGATGCCCGCTTGGCATTGTACCGAAACTTATCAATAAAAGCCTGCATAAAGAAAGATAAATTTATATTATGAATCATTTGCAAGAAAAAAAATTATAACAATTATCAATGTTTAATTTCAAAATAGTCTGATTTACAGAAAAAAAAAAATCATACTGTTCTATGAAAAAAAAACCATGCAATAAGTTCATACATAAAAGAATATATTAGTTCAAAATGTATGCAGCTTGGGATCATCTTATTAAGTCTGCTTTAATTCATATGAAAGCTATATTGACAAAAACAAGTATAAAAAAATGGCTATTAAACAGAATATGGTCTTTTCAATTAATAATGATCCAGATGCATCTTATACACAAGTCAAGCATTTCTTTGCCATAGTTTTAGAGTTATCCACATCTTGATAACTGCAAAACAATACAAAAATTTTCTTTTGCTATCATGAGGCAAGATTTGATTTTACTGCTGAATCATTTCAAAAAAGGCTGAAAATAATGCAGCTAAAATTCATCCCCAAAATAGTTACTGGTCTAACATCATAACAATTTTCGGTGTTTTCATATCGTTTCTTCCAAGCCATCACAAACGACAAATGGCTAACACAAGGAAACCCACATATCAGACAGTTGTCTCGTGTAGCCTGAAAGGCTGTTATTAGAACACCAAACTCTAATAACCTAAATAGTAAATCATGAATAAGTCTCTAGAGGATCTGCACTGCCATAGAAATAACAATTTGCATGGAAAAAGGCACACCTGCATGTGTGCTCTAGCCTTCTCACTTGATTCGAAGGCCTTTTGTTGGTTTTGGAGCTGCTCAGCTTTTGTCCTCTCAAACGTATCATAGTCCCCTTTGTAAGCAGTAAGCTTTTTTCCATGTAAGTGTAAAATATCTGTAACTACCTGCAATATGTTAACTTGGTCATTACGGGATAAGAATATGATTTCCCCTCTTCATACAAGATTTTGCAGAACACAAACAACTTTATGGAACTTTTTTTTTAAGAACGTGAATAGATAGCTACCGTATTCAAAAACTCTCTTGCATGAGAAACTACAATAAACGTCTTTGGCCACTTCACTAGGTAGGATTCCAACCACAATACAGCATGAAGATCAAGATGATTCTGCAGTCACATTTACATTAAATTCAACCATGAAGAATAAAGAAAAGGTATACAACCATAATAAATTACCGTAGGTTCATCAAGCAATAGAAGATCAGGCTCAATAAATAGTGCACGTGCTAGAGCTATACGCATACGCCATCCACCAGAAAATGCTTTCGTAGGCCTTTTCTGCATCTCGGAAGTGAAACTAAGACCCTGAAAACATTCATGAACATGCAATTATATGCAGCTGTCATTAATATGAACTATTAGAAGAAAGCTGTGGATAATCAAACAAAATAATAAATAGACTTAGATACTTAATCCTTCTTTCTTTTCAAAGATTGGATATGGATATAGTAAGTAGCACATGTAGCAGCAGTTATGGAAAACTTCATGGATAACATAAATTCATAACCATATAAAATTTTGCAATGCGTGAAACATATCCCTGTGACATTTTTTTTAGAATAGAAGGATCATATTGGCCACAACCAGCATGTTAATGGGATTTCTCTCATGCAAGTAGAAGTTTTTTAAGAGGCTAATGGATCAAGAGCCATGAAAGATCACTTGGTCCCCAAATTTCTAAATAGGTGTTTCTTTCTTTTTGGCAGAAGAAACCAGGCAGCTGAGAGTGGACTAGGTGGGGTCCAGTTGCACCGAGTGCCAGGGACCGGGCCCAAGCATCACATAAGAGGAGAAAATGTTGCTACCAATTGGCTAACCAATGGGACAGGTTTTTCTTTTAAATAATGGATTGTATTAATTCAACTCCAAAAACTCAAATATACAAGGAAAATCAGTCTACAAATTCCTGTATCTTATTCCTTGATTATATCTTCCGACTCAAGAAAGGTTACAGGATCCAGCAACTTGTTATCTGAGTAATGCAGGTTATAGCAACTTATAATCTAACAAAGGATCCTTCTTGGCATTAAAACAAAAACTGCTTCCAATAAGCCTAAGAAATAACGTCGTTTCATCACAAAACAGATGTAGCAGAAATAAATTTTAGTTCAATATAAAAAAGAAAACTTGTTTAGTAACCAATAATTGGATTGGTTTTAGGACTGACCGCCAGAATTGATGAGCCACGTGACTCTGCAGAATCTGCATCAATGAACTCAAGCCTTTTGTACACCTCCTCAAGCCTCTTTGAAATTGCATCTTTATTCATCCCGCCATTAACTTTACCATTACTCTTTCCTGTTTCTTCCTCGTATTCTAGTTCTCTCTTCAGGGAATAGTAATTATACCAAATTAGTAATAGAGTAAGAAATCAGCAAAAAAAATGAAAATACAGTTGAAAAGCAGAGAAAGCGAATAGAACAGCAATAACCTGCTGAGAAAGTAAATGGGCTTCTTCTTCCAAGAGCCTCATCCTCTCAACATCGGAATTTAGGACACATTGCAGAGCTGTTGTATCATCTCCAGCAACTTCTTGTTCCACATGTAATATTTGACAGTTTTTAGGAATACCATCAATAGCATGCATGGCCATATGTCTCAGAAAAGATGTTTTCCCAGTACCATTTCTACCAACAAGACCTGATTCAGGAAAAGCATGAAAAAAATAATCATGTGAAACAATTAATCTCAATCATATGATCCTTACATACACATGATATCACAAAAGCAAAGGTAACCGAACATATATGACAAGTATGGAATTCCTTATCTTCAGAATAAATGTAATTCCTTATCTTCAGTTTAAAACTAAGTAACAACAAAGTACAATTTCAACATTCAGTTTAAAACTAAATAACAAGTACGGAATTCCTTATCTTCAGGATAAATGTAACAGTCGTACCTGTACCTTAGGTATATTATTGGTCGCCTCATATAAAATTGGGAAATGCTGAACATATATGACAAAAAGATGGAAAAGGGGCCAGGTGATAATTGTGAGAAACTCTTCAACCCTGAAATTTTCCAATATTCTCAACCTCACTTACAGAATTTTGTTAAACTCAAAGACACCAATCATCAGCAACTCTACTGTTAAACTCAGTATATTAATGATCAGCAACTCTTTCCATTTAGACACAACAAGTACACCAAAATCATGTATCCAAAAATTTGATTAAGATCCCCTTTGAAATAAAAGTATACTTGCATGGCTATTTTAGATATGTAAATGTACACTTGTTCTCCATTTTATTTTGAAAATATTTGACAAATTATTAGTGCAACCAACAGTCACATTGTCTAATGCACAAAGAATCCTGTCAAAAGATGTCCCCATGTTGATGACATCAAGCAAGTTAGCTATCCGCCTGATACAAATTACTAAAGATCAGTAATCCCAAGTGTTCCACTCTTTTAACACTAGAACCAATGCTTCCCTTCCAAGATCCTTATGGCAATCCTCTTCACCAATCCCAATATTACAAACACAGTAATTCAACAAAACTAGAAGATCTACATTGTTGATCCTAACCTCTCAGGGGCAATCTCACTGAACAGGACAAAATATACAGAAAGAAGAACTAAAGGCAAGGTGAAAAAAGAAGAGAAGACAAGTGTCTGATATGACAATGTAACTCATAGAGATGGCAACGAAACCTTCAAGCAGTCTTTCTCTAGTCAAACATTCATAACACATACTGAGTACATCAATATATGTGAGCATACAAGACCTATAATATATTGTGTTTCTTTACATATTGAGCATGTCATAGCCGTGTTATATTATGTTGTCTTATTCTTTAATTCCTTTTCATCACAACACTAACCAGATAAATTTGACTTCCTGGAAAGAAAGAACACTAGCATAGGTCCTAGACATATCCAAGTATAAATCCAACATAATTGCAAACTAGTCATTATTCACTGAGATACAAGTCACATATTACTTTGGTTGAGACTTCAACAATGAACAGCAATGATGAGTTAATTAGAAAATAGGATTTTCATCTTTCCGTCAATATGCCAAGAATACATAAGAGAAGTCGGTTCTTTTTTCACTAGCATTCGATGATACCAGCAACAGGTCACACTCAAATGAAACAACATTACAGCAACTTAGGTTTAATGCTGCAAGTTTTTTAAAGAAAATGAATGTAATATTTCAGAGATGAATACAGGGAAGTTTTCATCCACAACAAAATGCAAAGATGAAAGTCAACATGGGTGATTCAACTTTCCTACGAAAGTGGACTTGCCAATATAGGTACACCTGACCATATTTTGCTCACTGCACGATTATAGTTTAGACCAAAAGTTTAAACTTAAAAAATTAAATCTCATTATGATCAGGAACTAACCATAGTGCCTTCCAAATGTGAGGGTCACTGAAGCATCTTGAATGAGATCCCGACCACCGACTGAAACTGTAAAGTTCTCCATGTGGATGTCCCTGACAGCTGGACCATTATTGCTTCCATCATGATTTACAAGCACAACTGGCATCCCAGCTTTTACAGCCTCCATTTCAGCCAAATGCACTTGGTATTGAGCCTGAGGAACAACAAATTATTGATCAGCACAAGAAAAATTGACAATCTGAGTATTTAATCAAATAAACCTAACTAAATAAGTGCATGGTGAGTAGAAGCTTCCGGAATCCAGGTGGCAAAGTTGATAAACTAGCTTACTTTGATATATGATCAGGCTACTTCAGACATGGAATACAGAATCAAATGCTACAAGTAGCAAGACAAAATAATGATCAATGCAACTTTACTTATCCTAAGGATATCAAGACAAGCTAATTGAACTTTTACCTCTCTTTGTCGCTCCTCCTTCCTCTTTTTCCTTTCTAGCTTCGCTTTATCACGTTCAGATAGCATTGGACCATCAAGCACTTCCTGCTGTTTCTTTGGTGTTTCATCTGCATCCATCCCATCATTCATTCGCAAAGGTGTTGCTAAACTTCGAACAGCCAGTTTAGGTTTCACCAAACCATGTTTTCCAAATCTTTCTGAAAGCTTGCTGCAAACCTGTATTTTCAGAATGAACAATCAAAGACATGTCACCAAGGTAAAAGCAAAATTCATCATTCATACTCTTGAGAGTATAAGCTCTCAGTACAGAGTTTTATTATCAGAACCATCTCGTCCGTAATAACTGAATTAACTAGGGTTTTTCTTTTAGTGAAAGCATAAACAACAGTTTGCTTATGTCTATGGATAAAACTATGGATTTATGTTCTGGCAAAAACTCATAAATAAGGGATCGACAGTGTTAAAGTTCAAAGTGCAGCCCAAGGAAAGAAACTAAATAGAATTCCTAGTTACTATTCTTGCTTATCCTTTTTATTCAGTTATACTAATATTGAGAAAAAAAATTCCCAATTGCATGACAGTATAAACCGGGAGATTAAAACCTAAAGTTGTCAGCATAATCATTGAAATTCATGACTCAAATCTCATATTAAGTAATTCATACTTTCCATAAGACAGTTAGAACATTATCATCAAACATGACAAACCCTATATCTCAATCATTATTTCAAATGACAATAAAGTTATGGTGAAGCTCATGTCCTTCACTTCTAAATCATGCTTCCGATTTCTTTTATTCTTTTGGCAATTATATTTTTTCAGTATTTTGGGTGAACTCCAAAAGTAGACTTACAGAGAAATCATGGGTGTCAAACTTCAGTGTAAGATAATATATTGTTAAAATGAAAATTAAATAAATAAACGCAAGTAATAGGCAGCTTTAGCCACTTTGTAAACTAATTGGAAGTTCTTTCTCAACCTTATAATTCCAGGATTGCAAACTTCAGCATAATGAAGAAGATGATAACTACAACTACTCTAGAAGTTCCCATAAAATACCCTTCTTCTGGTGAGATATAAATGGAACAACACGGAACGTTCAGATACTGTTAGAGACTTTATTAAATAATACCTTGGTCCATAAGGCCATGTCTAATGAAAACATTTTGCTCGTTGCTTTATCGAAAAGAAACCAAATTTACAGCCTTCTTTATAAGCAAGAGTTCAAGAACCTTTTGCACAAAAATGGTAATTCACAACCATACAAGCATCTCCTTCCAAGTGGATGGTGGTCAAAAAAAGGCTTTATGTATCTATTTGGCTCAGTATTCCATGGACGAACCTAAACTAAAAATGGGTTGAACTTTAAGCCAAATCTAACTCTACTCCATCTCAATGTAATTATCAGAAACTTCAACTCAAATCTCAGATAATAGTTGTCAAATATGGGCCAATTAGCCATCTTCATGAGATGAAAATAGATATATAAAATATATAGTGATATTCAAGATGTGTCACATTCTTATCTGACGAAAGACAGAAGGTCATCAAACCATATTCTGCCAATATTCATCCAAAAGACCATGTTCATTCTGTTAACTTTGTACCATTGACGATCCAGTAGCATGGATATTATGGGTTTTGCGATCATAAGCGACAGGGCAGAATAATCTGATCAAATCTACCACTAATAATCTGAATAACCACCAGAACTATCAAAGATTCCTTGCAATAAGATCCCATGAACCCGATACAATAAAGAAAATGGATCTCCGCAAAAACAAACCCAAATGTCCACACAATCTAAAGTAGCAGCAAATCACGATTCCTGTTTCTTTCAAAGAATTGGATGATGATCGATTTACGAACTCGGAAGCTATTCAAAATTCCGCCACAAATCTCTGTAGGGGGTTAGACGGAATTTCATCAACGATAGCTGGCAGAGACTTACAGATCGGCACTCGGCATAGTCCTGTACACATCCTGAGTCGACGAGGAGCTCGCCGACAGCATCAAAGGCGCCGTCACCGTCGGCCCCGAAGTCGAAGTCGTCGTCAGCGAGGACGTTGATGATGTAGTTGATTATGGGCGCGTCCACGTCCTCCACCCTCCGCCCCAGCACCTCGTGCACCACCCTGCTCGCCACTTCCGCCATCGCCACCTCTCGCTTCGCTCGGCTTCCTTTCCTCTATCGGCCCCGACCGAGGTTACACTATGAGGCGACCGTAACGGTGCCTCCATTACTCGTGGGTTTAAATAGGGCCCAAGAATGGCGGTCCGGAGCGCCTAAGGTCGAGCCCATGCGCTTCACTTTCTTGCGTTGTATAGACCGAGCCCGATACTGTGGATTGCATTATTGGGTAATGACAATGTAAGCATAAGGGTTACAACGGAAAGCGGTCCGACCCACTGTTAACCCGACCGCTACAGAAATCAATGGTCTATGTTTTTTCTTGAACTAGACTCGACATGAATAAATTATAATAATATTATATTATAAATAAATAAAATAAATCTAATATACGAAGCTTCCGCCAATTCCCGTCTGACTCGAACTCTAAGAGAGTCAAAAAGTATCGACTCGCCATCTTTAATTATATTATATTATATTAATTAATATATATCAATAGTTTTTAAATTTGATAAAAATTCATTATAGTAAGAGTTAAACTTGGTTGATCGAGATAGATGAGTTGGTGCAGCATGATCTCTGGTTGAATTCGTCATGCCAACAAAAACCCATGTAGATATGAGATTTTTTATGATTTACATAAGCATTATATTTTTATTGAAATTTTTAATGTAGTATATATGCCCCTTATAATGTTAAGATCTTCTTCTCAATAAATTCAAATTAGCTTATTTTAATCATAATTAATTTTAATTATTTTTATTGAGATATCTGAATTAATTAGTGTACTGTTGCATATAATAAAAAATATTTTAATTTAAAATTTTAAATTGATTTAAAAAATATAATATATAAATTAAATTTATTTTTAAATATTTTATCTGATGACACCCCTAATTAATTTTTATCTGGAGACTTTTTTTTTCGTTGAATAGATGAAAATACCTCTCCACTAGCCATCCACCGCGAGTGGCGTCGTCGACCGCCTCTGTCCATCGCCTCCGCCACCTACTACCACCGCGAGCGACGCCGCACCCACTACCGTCGCCCCTCCTTGCTACTGTCGCCAGCATCATCGCCGCCTTGTCCGGATCCCCCCTCGACCTTCCAGCGCCGTCGTCGCCACCCCACCTTCCAGCATCACCGCCGCCCCCTTCGCCATATAGTGTTGCCGCCACCCCACCACTTCTCACTGGCGGCAGAGGGGGCTTCCTCCTAGCCATTGTCGAAGGGCGAGGAAGAGGGATTGAAGCGCTCCTCGCTGGCGACAGTGTCGCCTCCTTCTTTGATCGCGAGGAAGAGGGATTGAAAATCTCCGTCCACGAGGATCATGGAGCGGTGCAGGGTAGCGCACGGCAGGCGATGAGGAAAGGGAAGCGGCGGAGGGCCGGGCTGGCGACGCCGAGGCTGCAGTTGGGGTTGGAAAGGCGGGGGCCCCATGAGCGGGGCCAGATGGCACCGCAGGCGACCTGGAGAGCAGCGGCGGTGAGGAGGAAGGGCCACTTGCCGCCAGTGAGAAGGGGTTGGGTGGAGTGGCACTGGAAGGCAAAGGGGACGCCTGGTGGAGGACGGGGTGGCGGCAGTTCTGTTAGAAGACGAAAGGGGAAACAAAAGTGGTGGCTAAAAATCAATTACGGGGGTATTTGAATTAAAAACTCAATATTAAAAGTTTTTTTAGTTTAAAAAACATTTTTTTTTTATCGAGAAGATATATCGAAGTTTTTTTTTACGTTTGAGGGAGACAACAAACTTAAACCCATGAAAGGTATTTTCATTGATGCGATAAAAAAAAATCTCCAAGTAAAAATCAATTATGAGACTATCATCGAATAAAAACTCAATATTAAAAGTTTTCTAGATTTAAAATATATATATTTTTTTTTTATCGAGAAGATATATCTTAAACTTATTTAAAAAATACGTTTGATAGAGGATATTCTGGTACCATCAAACTAGCACCCATCTTAGATCATACGTGACACTACTTCAACCGAAGCCATACACATGTCTCAAAATAGTACGAAACGATATAGTTCGATTCAGAGACGATTATATCATGAAGCGACACAAAGCAGAATTCATGTCGCTTGAAAATCACACGAAGCGACACCTTAAAGTGAGTAGAGAGTCTTGCATAATACGGGATCAGAACAATCACCTTATTATAAACAAACCGCCCACCTGAAATATCGATGGATGCTAACAACCTACAAATGGTCGATCCCTGGAGAGGTATAAAAAATACCCTCGAGCAAATGCCGGGAGGAGGCTAAGTAAGCAATAGCCTCTTTACTCTCTCATTTACATAGTTGATAATATTGTCTTCCTCCCCCTCCGTTTTTCGCTAATTAAGTGTCGAATGGGTCAAGCCAAGAAACCTACGATGCATATCTATTGTGCAGAACCATCGACGGTAAGGAGATGACTCCACTACCAGAACATAATCTCGTAACCATGAGATAACCCTTTGACCAGAGGACAACCCATCCGTGCAAAAGAGAGGACATCACAATTGAGCAAATCATAATTCCTCTACTCGATCTCACCACTCCAAAGACAAATCGACCCCACGTGAATCACCTTGCCCTCGTACGTCGGTTTATCATGTCAACACTCCCATATTGGTACGAAAGAGAATATAACCTTTGATAGTAAACCAATCGTGCTGACTTACCAGTCAACAATACTCATGATCTATCAAAAACTTAATATTAAAAGTTTTTTTATTTTAAAAATATCTTTTTTTTTATTATCAAGAAATATTTTGTAGTCTTTGTATTGCATGCCCTAAGGAGACAACAAACTTAAACTCATAATTAAGAGAGACAAAGGTGTTAGAAATGTTTAATACCTTAACTGATAAAAGACATCGACTATGGATAATAAAAAATTGTGATTAAATTCTTAACATTTGATAAGATATAATTTTTTTTGAAATATAAAGCTTAGTCACAAGAGAAAACCAAAGAATCAATTATATAACATAAATAAAAAAGTATTAACATAATATTTGCATAGATCGGCACTCCGGATATAAATTCATTAAAAAAATTAAATCATTTATTATAGGAGATCAAATCGCAAATACACTTAAATTAATTTTAACCTAATCACACATCCCTTTTTATTAGTACACAAATCCCAAAATTTTTTTAATCTTTTCTCATACTCTCTCTACACGAAAAACTGAAAGTTATTCTCTCGTGTACTTACTCATCAGAGACAAACCATACATAAGTTTTATATAGATAACCAAACTATAATTTTGGGGTTTATTTCTTTACAAACAAATATTTCTATAAATGAAAAACTCAAATCCCAAAAAATTCTTTAATCTTTAATCTTTTCCAAACTAAATCCCAAGATATTCTCTGACGCTCTTTCTATATCTACGAAAGAAAGATTCTTAATCTTTTCCAAAACATTAAGAACAAAATCTTAATCTCTTTCTAAACCCCAAGATATTCTCTTAATCTTTTCCAAAATTTCTATAAATGAAAACCTCAGATCCCCAAAATTCTTTAATCTTTTCTTACTCTCTTTCTATATCTATGAAACACTCATGCGAACTAAAGATATTCTCTCACATACTTATTAACAAATATATATATATATATATATATATATATATATATATATATATATATATATATATATATATATATATATACAAACTATGGTTTTTAGACTTTTTTTCGTTTACAAACAAAAATTTGTTTATAAACAAGTTTTTAGTATTCATTTTGTTTACAAACAAAAAATCTATAAATAGATTACGTGTCCTTTAAGGGTTTTAACAATTTATTCCATTTATATTTGTCAATCAAATAAGATTCGGTGGGATCTTAAATTACAAAAATAATATGTCACGCGTAAATGAATGTCTATAAAATGGCATACTTTTGCTATTGATTTTTACTAAGAATTATAAATGGAATGCTTCTCGATGACAACTCGCATTACGTCTATTGCCGTGCCAATCATTTGGTTCACCCAACAACTCTTCTTTTATTCCAATGGTGACCGTCCTTTCCACAACAATCATCAAAACGATTTCAACGGCTGATAACGATCCATCACAATCATAAACATTCCGGTTTATGCTCGTCCGCGTCTCCGTCGCATACGTTACGAGCATTTATAACATTTCGTATCGGTTTCCGAGACGATACGGAGATAAATCGTCTATTATTCCCCGTTACGATGGCATACTTGCGGGTCTGGACTTCTTTTCCTTCCCATCGCAATTTGGATGCGCCTTCAACGATACTGCTCTCTTCTTCCTCCCGCACGAAACCCGTTCTTCGAAAGGAACCGCGAAATCGCTCAATCCTTGCTTTCTGTGATCGGAGGTAGATCGCGCGCCGAGGAGAAAGCAGCAATCTTGTCGATTTGGGGATTCTTTGGCGTTGTATCTGTCAATCGAATCGGGGACTGAGATCACCTGTGGATTTGGGTCGACCTGGTGAGGAAGAAGATCTCTTTCAGAAGGCTTCTGACCTCGCCGCCCGACCAATTCCAACTATTCTTCTGGTATCTGCTCCTAATTCTTCGAGAAAGTTCGGATTTGTATTTGTTGGAGGCGAACAAGATCGAATTTTTCTTCTTTGGCACGGTTCCAAGTTTGGCAATTTCTATGTGGCATCTGTCATTAGGAAATTTTTGTTTAGTTTTTGCTCTATTAGAATCGACATGTTCAATTTTGCTGTGACTGGTGTCGTGTAACCCGATTTCGTCATAAAATGAAACCTCAAGACAACAGAAAACGACGAATTTATTTCAAGCACTACGATTTAGATAACCATGAATACAGGTTATGATTTTTTGGTGGTTATTTCGAGGAAATTTTGTCTTGGTGCAGTCCGTTGTGCACAGGAAACTTCTTTTTTTGTTTGCATGATTCGGGATATTTTAACCAGGAAAATTTGGATTAACTAGAAGGAAGTGCATGTTTGTGAATTTGTAAGACAGGTACTTTTAATATAGATTGTGGTATACAAGTGTACATATGTACGATGCTATTATTATTTTATTATTTTTATAAATTGAGGGCAACTCTATATACAACTTTGGTCAATGCCATCAGAAAATGATGGGTCTTTGAGCTTCCTTTCAGCTTTTTCACTTGGAGTTTCAATGTTTCAATAAGATAATTCCTTTTAAGCAATTTGTTTATGATATTTACTTGCTTGTCTAGGTAATGAGGGACTTGCCTGAGAGAGCCTTAGATTCAGAAAACCCTGCAGGAAACTCAGATGATTCAAGAGACAAAGACCCCATAGCCGTTGTATCAGAAGAAAAGTCTGCTGACACAAAGTCTTCAAAGGCTTCTATTTTGGCAAGTTTTCTTTCATCCACTTTGGCTATGTTTGAAACACGCATGGAGTCTTCTTCTGATGACTGTAAAGCGACCAAACCCACAAGCTATGGCTTGAGTACAGCAGTTTCAAATGTCATGATTAGTGGCCCAATTAGGAGGCTTCAGGAGCGTATACTCGGAACTACTAGAATGGAAGCACTGAGCTCAACCAGTGAAATTTGGCTTCTTGGGAAGTGTTATAATGCATCAGCAGAGGAGTCATCTGGTGGTGAAGATCCTGGTAATAGCTATGCTGAATTTTTAGAGGACTTCTCATCGAGAATTTGGATCACATACAGGAAAGGTTCGTTCGCAGAAGGTTTCTGTCTTTTGTATCACCAGCTATCTAACATTACCCTTGCTTTCAGTATAGAATTCTCTTATTTGTTTATACAAAAGTTAGCAGATAATGAAACATAGAAGCTAGGCCCTGAGTAGTGGATTTTCCACAGGTTTTGAACCCATTGGTGACACAAAATTTACAAGTGATGTCAACTGGGGCTGCATGATAAGAAGCAGTCAGATGCTTGTCGCCCAGGTATCTGTGTAATCTGTCAAAATATCGATCTAGACCTAAAAATGTGCTTGAAGGATTAATCAAATGAAAATTTCTTGTTTGTTAAAATTTCAAACAGGCATTGCTTTCTCATCATCTGGGGAGATCTTGGAGGAAGCCCTCTCAGAAGGTGACATCAATGATTACTGTCGGCCGACAAAAAAATTTCTTCCATGGAAAATGCTTAAGTTTGTATAGAGAGAGTGATGGAAGCTTTTTTAACTTGCAATGTAGGATTGCTTATGATGGTCCCCTGTTGGTTATGCAGCCATATGATCCCAAATATATCGAGATATTACAACTTTTTGGTGACTCGGAGGCATGTGCTTTTTCTGTGCACAATCTGCTCCGAGCTGGAAGGCATTATGGCTTGGCCGCTGGATCATGGTTGGGTCCTTATGCCATGTGCCGGACATGGGAAACCATCACACGTGCCAATAGAGAGCAAGCTAACCTTGATAAAGGCAAAGAAAGCTTGCCCATGGTTGTGTATATCGTTTCTGGTGATGAAGATGGGGAACAAGGTGGAGCTCCTGTTGTCTGCACTGATGTAGTTGCAAGACTCTGTTCATCTTTTAATATGGCTCTACATGCGTGGGCACCTATTCTCTTGTTAGTTCCATTGGTTCTTGGTTTAGAAAGAATCAATCCCAGGTAAATGATTGTCCTTCTAAAGACATCTTAATGAAGTCATGACTTCCCATTTCCTTTAACATTATTATGGTGAACTTTTGTTTGAAGTAAAAGGTTCATTCTTTCATAACATGCTATTAGTACCTTGTAGTTCTTATAGCTTGCGTATCTTTCTAAGATGTCAGCAACTAACAAAGACTACTAAACATGATAGGTCTTTTACTGACTTAGAACCCAGAAGAGGTAACTTTGTTAATTTATGCAAAAAGGAGCTTTCACGTTTCTATATCAAATGGGCTTGGGAACTAATTAGTTACGATAGTATGTTGAAGCATGAGGTTTTTCCATTTGTTTTCATATAGAGATGCATACTCAAGGTAGTACCCATGTTATGTTGTGTCAGCATGCTTACTTCAGGAAATCCTAAGGGGTCGAGTAATGTTGGTGGCTCGAGCAAGAAGTTCTGATGCCTAGGCATTGTCCATCATTGGATACTGGCCCTGGCATACTAAGATGACATCAAGAGGATGAAATGTCTTCCGCATCTCTTTATCTTTCTCTCTCTGTCTCTATCTCTCTCCTATGGAAATTGTAGCAAAATTTTGTTACTACGGACTCCAGGAAATAAAGTGGTGGAAATAATGTGGGTATTAGATTGTTGCATAGTTGCAAGAATAGATCAAATCATTTTTTTTCTGCAAGCTACACATTTTTTTGCCTGTTGGCTCCTTTGGTGTTTAATCAATTCAGATTTGCTTGATATCTTTTTTAGCTTAACTATAAAACAAAAATTTTCAGTATAGTAGTTATGTATTGTAGTAGTAGATAGCAGGTTTAGTTCAGTGATACCTCATCAGTTGATTAGAATAATCTTCATATGATAGTAAGCTTGTACTATATTTTAATTGCACACGCACTCATACAGTGAAGAACTGTTGTTGGCAGTTTAAATAAGAATAAGAAACTAAATGTTCATAGACTGAAATATTGTAAGCTAAAGAAACTTTTTTAATACTACTTTTTGTTTTTAATGTTTACTTATTATGATCACTAAGAAATAGGTGCCTTAATGTTTTTGCTTTATAAGCAGTGGTCCTCTGATATGTATGTGATTGGACTTCTAAAATTTGTGAATTATTTGATTTTTTCAAACTTTAGTTATATTTCCTGAAACCTTATTTCACAAGGTTGTACTTGAGGTCTATATTTGGTAAATCACTAGCAAATGAGTGTTTTAACTTTTTCAATCTTCTATAAAGTATCAGTTTTATATATGATGAAATTCATAAAAATTTGTCATTTGCATGACATTTTCCAGCTTTGTTTCTTTTCTTTGGTATTCCCTTATCTGGTACTTATGGTGCCACATCATTTTAGATACATCCCATTGCTACAGGAGACATTTTCATTCCCACAAAGTCTGGGCATTTTAGGTGGAAAACCTGGTGCCTCAACTTACATTGTTGGGGTACAAGAAGACAAGGCACTGTATCTGGATCCTCATGAAGTCCAACAGGTATGCTTGTCAAATATAGAACAAGAACTGTATTTGTTTAGAAATTGTCATTTGTTTGTGCTTCTATGTAATTGGTCACTTCCAAATGATTGCTGTATTTTATTGTTATTATATTTGATGTATTGATCTGTGCCACTGGTATAACTAGTTGACCACTTTATTTTGTTTAGAAGATTGAGTTTATCTTGTTAAAATTTTTTGAAACTTGCATCATTGTGTACACCTTTCTGGTTATAGTAAATAACATTTTATATTAAATGTACATGATAGTGAACATCAAAATATACACCTTGCTCCGATGTCTTGTAAAGTTACTTTGTATCAAGGATTGCTATGTTGTTGAATAGGTGGCATGCCAATAATTTTTTGAAATGGAACGTTACCATGTCATGCCAGTCGACATTCCCCTGTTTTTATATTGTAATTGGTCTAGAAATCATATATACACCTTTTGCACTGGTCAGCAAGGAACATGCCAACATACCACAACATGTTCCAGACCACATTATATGGGTGTTACAAGACAATCGGACCATAACATGCTGATCAGAATGGCGATACTTGCTATGGATCAACTCTTAGTTTATATTCTTGGAATGAGCACAGCATATGAAAGAACAAATGTACAATTTTAAAGTCGAAAGAAAATCAATTGTATAATAAGGAAGCTCATACTGAATAACTATTGACTTTAGGGAGGATAATATCTTTCCAATTTTTTCGTTCTTATCATTCTATATCATCCCACATCTTAGTTGTCCTATGTGTTCTATGTTCTTTTCAATGTCTCCTTGAATATGATCTCTAAAATATGTGCAAATTTAACTCCTTATGAAAAAAGGAACAAAAAACTTGGAAGCTCTTGATGTAGACCTAGGCACAAGGGAAAGAGGTTATAGAATTTTGTTTTTTCTATTATCTGAAGTTCAATTACTTATGGGAATTTATAATTTGTTCTGCTGATGGTATTAACCTAAGATGTAGGTAGATTTTCAAAGCTTTGTAATGCTCAACTACTGTGCCTTATGCCAATTCCAACTGTGGTTCTTATGTCTAGTTTTGTTATACTCATCGAGTATGCAAAAAATTGACATATTATATTACGAACAATTAGATCACCTATTTCTTTTCTGTATGAAGAAAATATTCACAACTGATTCATTTATATACATTTTTGTGACCTCTTTCCCCTTTCCACCTTTTTGCTGCTTCTTTTGGTTGAAACATAAAACTCAGTCCATAACTGCAAGCTTTATCGTATTATGGGTAATCTCAAGTGGATGCGGTGATTTCCTGAAGCATCAGTCAAATTCCTTCCCATGGGCCTTTTGGACCACTCTCTGGCCATTCTATCTGTGCAATCTGCCAAGTGGAATGTGCCAGTGGGAAACAAAACCTCAGCAAGAGAAGATTCAATTTGGTTAGGTTCACTCGTATGAATCAGTTTCCTTAAGGTCATCAAGCTTCATTCAAAGCCCGAAAGAGAGTATGCAATATGGTCATATGGAATAGTAGGCATTGTCAAGAAGCAAACCCGATATACATGCATACATCCATACTTACATATCAATTCCTCCTTTTGCCATGGTCTTGGCTTTCAGAGAATGACAGGGTTCGTTGTTATCATGTTAGGAACAATAAATATTCTACTTTTTCTGTATGAATAAAATATGCACAATTAGTTCACATATAACACATTTATATCAGTCCTTTCCCCCTTCCACCTTCTTGCTGCCTGTTTTGGTTGAAACAAGCTCAGTCCAAAACTGCTGCAAGTCTGCAAACATAAACCTAGCAGCCCAAAAATGGCCAAATATTAATTCCTTCTTTCACGATGGTCTACCTGCTTTCAGATAATGACATATGCACTTTCATGTTTTCTGTTCTCTTATCTACAATGGCAAATTCTTCTCATACAAGCCTTTTGGAGCCACTGAGTTATTGACAATGTATGAAACAGGCTGTCGATCTCAAGAGTGATAGCTCAGAAGTCGATTATATTTCGTATCACTGCAGGTATGCTGTGTCAACCTACACTTTGACCACATTAGTATCTATAGTGTTTTTTCCATCACGAGTGGCTGTCTTCTCTAACCATTTCTTCTCCCTTGCCATCTGGTGATTAACGGTTCCAGAACTGTCCGACATGTGCCATTTGACCTGATAGATCCTTCTTTGGCCATCGGATTCCATTGCCGAGATAAAGGTCAGCTGATTTTTGATAGATTATTTTTTCTTTTCAAATAAGAATTCTATGCATCCATAAGCTTTTGCCCGCTTGATTTTGTTTAACCGTTGCAGATGATTTCGAAGATTTCTGCTCCCGTGCTTCTCAGCTTGGGGACAAGTCCAATGGAGCACCACTTTTTACCGTGACCCAGTTTCCTCAACCTTCAAAAACAGTTCCTTATTGTGATGGAGATAATGTAGGCAATTCTCGCAACTGCATGATGGATAACACCTTTGATGTGGAGAACTTTGGTGATGATGATGCCCAACCCGGTGAAGATGAATGGCAAATCTTATAAAGCGCTATGCGTGTCTGAAGCTATGTTTGGTCAATGATACCTCATGTCATCTCCCTGCACTCATCAACTTAGTGCGAGAATTATTTGGTCGAAGAATCTGATCTGCACTATGCTGGATTTCATATCCTTCATACATTCTTTGTAATATATTTGGATTGGTATTGTACAAGTAAAAGAGTTATTTTCTGTTCCTTGTCGCATTCTTGCCGTCTGTTATTAGTGTTTGTGTTCGGCTGTTGCTTGTCGGGTGTGTTGGAAGGGATCCGGGTTTGTAATTTGAGTGACGAGGATCCCTAACCCATCTTTCACGGTGTTTGAGTACCTTGTGGGGGCCAATAGTTCTACCAATTGGGAGTTCTCCTTTGCTTAAACCCTGCCTGGAGCAAAACTGGAGCGACATTCTTCACCTTTAGGGTGGTGGAGGGTCCTGTTTGCATCCGAACCCAATAAGAGAGCGACAAAGCCCTCATCTTCTTACGGCACGAAATTTAAGGTCTCGAATCTTGTCTTCATAATTTATCTTATACAAAAAATATTAACCCTGAATCTTGGTATTTTTTATTTTATCACTTATCATTTTGTTTACTAATCACATTTTGAAGCTTATTTAGAAAATATTATAAATATAGTTAAATAAAAATATATTATTATAATATCATAATATAAATATACAGTGGAATATGAGTAGAATACTTATCACATTTAAACCGAGGGCCTTTTGGTATGAAGAATAAGGATTGAAGGAGTCATATTTAAAATTAAAGATTTAAAGGACTATATAGAAAAGAAAGCATAATATTTTAGGAGAATTCTCGAAAAAAGCCTTCAAATTTTGATAGAACGTCCCCTTTGTTTTAGTAAATAATAAATTAACCCTCGGCCCCCCTCGGATCCGCCACCGCCACCGCCACCCCTCCCCTCTGCCCCGTTCGACCTGTCGTCGCCTCCGCCGCATCATCCTCGTCGTCCTCGCTTGCTGCACAGGCGGCTAGCGTCATCGTCCGCAGCCCTCACGCGAGGAAGGAGAGGACCCCGCCGGACCCTCCCCTGCGCGCCTCGCGCCGGAGGCCCTTGCGTGAGGAAGGAAGGGCGCGGAGGCGACGACGGGTCCGAGAGGGGCTAATGGGGTTGGCGGAGGTGACGACGATCTTCGTGCAAGTGTTGCGGGCGGGGACGGCGAGGGCTGCCATCGCCTCCGCGCCCCCTTCTTCCTCGTGCGAGGGCGAGGCGGGCAGGGGCAGGTCTACGAAGACAACGATTGGTCCGACAGGACAGAGGGGAGGGGAGGGGAGGGGAGGGGAGGTGGTGGTGGAGGCGGCGCAAGGGCGGTGCAAGACGGAGGCAGGTTTGGTGGGGGCTAAGGGCAAAATTATTTTGAAAGTTGGATGCTCAGCTTGAATTTCCGAACGATATGTGGCTTTCTCTTCCTTCCTCTCCGATCTTTCGCTTTTTGTTGTTTTGGGTTCTTCTTCCTTCTGATACATTAAAGATAGGTTTCTGATGTTGGTAGAAGCGGTTTGGCCTGCGATCCATCTATTCATCACGACAACGAGAACTTACCTGGAAACCCATCATCGTTCTTCAACCCTCGCAAGCATTAGCCGGTAATGCAAGCATGGGCTTCCCCGTTTTCCTGAGCCTCATTTTTTTCCTATTCCACTGATTTGGTACTATTCGCCGCCGCAGCAAAGGCAACATCCAGATCACAAGAAGTCGTTGATTGTAAACATCAACGATGGGTTATGCACATCCGGTGATCCGACCTGCCGGAATCCGCAAGGTAATGAATTCTTTTATTTTCTGGTGCTCAAATCATGCCCGTCTTCTCCGTCGATCGTTGATTCCTTTGCCTTTTCTTTTATTCGGCAGTCGACTTACTGCTCTAGCTTGTACCAACATTGCGAGACTACGAGAAGGACTGTGCATATAGTGAACCTAGATCCAGCGGCTGAACATTTCGACTATCCTGCCGCTGTGGGTGTGTGTTCCTCTATTGCTTCTTTATGTTCTTTAGCTTAACTGATTGTTTGTGATGCATTGTTGTCTTATTGCAGATATTAGAGAGCTCATATGTCTGGATGACCTCATGGAGAAACTTGGCTTGGGCCAAAATGGGGGGCTCATTTATTGCATGAAGTATGGTTTTACTTCATTTTCTTTTCTTCTAGTGATGTGTGCCCTTATTTGATTCAAAGCATCTCAAAATTGGAATTCATAACCTGAACGACTATAATTGAATGATAATAGTTCGTTGGAAATTTGGAATAGTAGAGAACTATGTTGAATATTTTAGTGGAAGATGGAATAATGTCTGGTAAGCATGACTATCTGCAAACATTAAAAGGATCAAAGATTATCAGGACATTGTCCAGACATTTCGTTTGGAAAAACAAATCCTGGTAACCTGGTTTAGACTTCTCTGCGACAGTATATGTAATTCATCTTTCATTGTATTTCATCAAGCTTTCTGCTTGTTGAAGTCTATTGAGGATCGAAGCACATTTTGGGGGTCATGATCTCAACTACGGAAAATAGTGACTGGCTGGTGAGACATCTGAATCATGTGCTTAATGAGTGACGAGAAAGTATGCAGCAGTTGACAAAAAAAACCTCAACTTTCATATTATGGACTCCTTTACAATAGCAAGTCCATAGCTTCCCCATATTCCAACTGAAGAACTTGTCCTTGATTTGTCATCTATCAGCTATATTTCCAAATTGTTGCACTTTCTGAATTTCCTTTGGTGCTCGTTACTGTTTGTAGAGTCCTCTTGCTACATGAGTCGAGTGACTTAAATCCTTGATCATTTGATTCTAGTTACTTAAATCCGGAGGCAAGTATTCTGCTGTCAGAGTTGAATCAGCATATGGCACTGCAGTTTGCAAAGCTGAATAATGCTTTCAGTTATTTTGAGCATATATAGTTATTTTGCATATAACTCCTCCATATGCGATGGGGCTGCTTTCAGTTAAATTTTCTTATGACATTTACTTCTATTTTCTATTGCGAGAAAAAAAAAAAATACAGGGCCCAGTTTATAGTAACTCTTTTGATTTCTTAAGTTGGTGAAAGATTGTCAAAAGCTGCAAACATGTTCAAACCTATGGCAAGACAATCCATCATGTTTGGATGTTCACATGACAAATTAAGACAATCTACATCCAGCTGGGTGGCTCACTCTAGGATTGGTTAAGTTGATATTGTGTTTGTGTGTATTTGATGGTAAATCCCTTGTATATATATATATATGTATGTGTATATATGTATGTGTGTATATATATATATGCATATATATATGTATACATATATATGTATATAT